GGCACAGTGTAATGGGGTCAATTCATCCTGTGGAAACAGGAGCGCTTTAAAAGGCGTGGCATGAATAAAATACCTATTTTATAGGCTTTATACCCCGCGATGCTGTTCTTAGCACAACAATTGAGCGCTGTTGGAAGCACCTCGCAATCTTGAGCGAACCCCAAAACAATTTAGCCGTGCCAGTTTTTTTTCTCGCAGGGAAAGACCCCGAGAGAGCCCCGGAATGTCTAAAAAGGAGAAAAAACGTTCTAGAAAAAAGCCATTTTCCCATTGTTGCTGATTAAATTTAACATTTAACATGGTAGAATCTCCAGGTGACTAAAACTGGATGCAGTATTCTAGATGTGATCTTACTAAGGCTTTATAGAGCGGTATCAATACCTTACTTGATCTTGATTGTATCCCTCTGTTCATGCAACTTAGGATTGTGTTGGCTTTTTTGGCCACCAACTTAAGAGATTCTTAGAGATCTTGTGTGAATATACTGACACTTTTCTTTATAATCCATCCCTGGCTTTCGTGAGAAACAAAGGGCCCCACAGAACCCAAGGCAACCTAACGAAAACTACGTTGTGTTGTTGCAACACAAGCTCTGCTCCTTTGGTCCCTGCAGGTAGCACCACAACGCACGTACAAACGGCCTAAACTGCAGGTGTTACTTTCCTCAGTTGTCCCTCTGGATCTCCCTTGCCAACATCCTTGCAAAGGGAGCGGCTGTTCTGCTTCTTGACAAACTCTGTGTTCCATTCTCCTCCGCGCAATCCATCCGGTTGGCACCCTTACCTTGGTGCGAACCTCGATGTTTGCTCCCCGGTCAAGCAGCAGCCGCACCATTATGATGTTGCCGCGTCGAGAGGCGATGTGCAGTGGGGTGATGCCATTCTAGGGGGGGGGGGCAGAGAAAGAGGGGGAAGAAATGAGGTGAGAACTCCGCCCGGAAACTGCAGGAGCCTGGGTGACCTGATAGCCAGAGTACATTTTGGGGTTGCATGTTTCTTTTGGGGCAACCCAACTGGCACCTGAATCCGTTTTGGCTCTTAAAAAAAATAAAATAATAAACTTGTCTCCTCCTTAAAATAAAACCTATTGTTTCCCATATAGCAGCAAAAGAAGTGATGTAGAGATCTGTGGTGGCACAGTAGTTAGAATGCAGTTTTGCAGGCTAATTCTGCCCGCTGCCAGGAATTCGATCCTGACCAGCTCAAGATTGACTCAGCCTTCCGTCCTTCCGAGGTGGGTAAAATGAGGACCCAGATTGTTGAGGGGAAGAGGCTGACTCTATTAACTGCTTTGAGAGGGGCTGTAAGGCACTGTGAAGTGGTATATAAGTCTAAGTGCTATTGCTATTGTTATTTACTCCTTCCCTCCTTGACGAAACCAAAATCTCCAAAAATCAACACAAGGTCTACGAACAGTAGCTCGCTCCCTCTGATGTCTTATATCCACTGCACTCCAAAGGAGGGAGGGAAACTGTTTTTCTACACACGAGGACTTAGTTACTGATATTTTTTTAAAAGTTTTAAAAGTTTCAAAAAAGAGCTTCTCTCCTGGTGTTCTGTTCTGGACTTGGGTTTTTCCCACCCTACAGGGGGATAAGACTCAAAGCATCTTTTACAATGCTGTTTTCCAACCTGTTGGGAAACCCCCAGCCTGGCAGGGAAGAGAGATCATACATGGAGTTCGTTTGAAGTCACTGTGCAATTACAAAAGGGCTAGAACTGACCCACTCGTAAGTTCCTTGAAGCCTTAGCTAATTATTACCAAGCCTAGGTTGCCAGACAGGGGAGATTCTTGTAGTATAGGCTCAACATAATAAAGTAGTTTGTTTGAGCTCTGAACTCAACAGAGTTGAGCCACTAGACTATAAATTGAGAGTAAACACCACTCCTTACTAGCACTGATGATGTTACTTAGTTTGATAATGAGATGTCTGCAAAAAAAAACCAACAACAAAACCAAACTCAGAGAGCACCAAGGATTCCTCATTTCAACCCTGAATTACAAATATTCTCCCTTATCAATAAAATAGTTAGCTTAACCTCTGTAGGTGTGGGTTGTTCGTGCCTAACACACCCTTTGGCAATTTGAAAGTGAGTGGACTTCAGCTCCCAGAATTCTCAGCAAACGGCTCTGTGGGAATTCTGGGAGTTGAAGTCCCTATACCTGGAAATTGCCACGGTTAGGAAACTCGGTTCTACATCAGCCATGGGCTCTGCACGCACCTGGGGGGTGAAGTTGACGCTTGCTCCACGGTTGAGTAGAAGCTGGGCCACGTTGAGATTCTCGTAATGTGCTGCGATGTGAAGAGGGGTGAAGCCAGTCTGTAGGAGAAGAAAGAAGGGGGAGCGATCAAACACCCCAGGATCTCAGCCAGTAAGAAATGGAGACCGAGTGGAGCAAGTGGCCAGTTTTAAGTTTCTGGGTGTTACTCTAAAAGAGGACCTGACCTGGAAGGGCTCACATTGCAGCCCTGGTCAAAAGAGCCCAGCAGAGATTAGACTACCTGAGACTTCTCAGAAAACAACAGTTGGATGAAAAACTCCTGATGACCTTCTACCGCTGCACCATAGAGAGCGTTTAAACATACTGCACCTCTGTATGGTTTGCCAACTGCACAGTGGCAGCGCTCCAGAGGGTTAATGTCATTGCCCAGAGGATCAATGGTTGCCCTCTCCCCTCTTTGGAAGAGCTTTGTAGCTCCCGCTGCCTTAAGAAAGTTCAAAACATTCTCCAAGATCCATCTCGTCCTGGGAACCCTTTTTTTGAACTACGGGTGTCAGGCAATTTCTATTATGGCTTTAGTTACGTGTTTCTCCTTTAGGGAAATATAATATTCTGCCTTTTTAAATATTTCTCAAAATACTTCCTTCTTCTAACAGGGGTGGGGTGCTAACTTTCTACAATTCCGTGCCAGCAGCCGATGCACACAGATAGCTCCATTTTCATGAGCGGCGAGGACTCGTGCCTGAGAGTCCGTGCCACTTGTGAAAATGGAGGTGTGCTCACACCTGCCTCTTGCATGGCCCGGCTGCAGCTCAAGGGGTGGGGACCCCCGTCTTACAAGTGCCCATGAACGCTTCCTTCAGGGTAGGATGCTACCGGTTCAGCCTGGTTCTATAGAACCGGTAGCTCCGAAAAGCAACCGACACTGAAACGGTTCAGTGCGACAACCTTCTAGTTGTCTGTTTGGCCCACCTGCCCACCTGGGCTCTTGGCTGTCCTTTATTTCCTGTTTTTTCAACCTCAGCTGCTTTGAGTGGCACAGGTGAGGTTGAAAAAGCAGGAAAGGAGAAGCTTTTCAAACACTGCACACCCACGCACAGCGCTTGTCAGTTATCCGGGCGGCACAGCTGATGTTCTTTTGCAAATGCTGTACACACAGGCACAGCGTGCGTCAGGCGTGCGTGTGCATATCACACTCTCACCGAATTGGTCGTGACACTGGTTGAATCCCACCCCTGACTTCCTTCCACCTGAAAGTTTCTCAACTCCACAGGACAGTGGTGGGATTCAAAAAGTTTGACCACCCGTTTGGTGGGCATGGCTTGGTGGGTACACTTTGCATGCGCACTTGCACCAAATGCACAGTTTGCGCAGGCGTAGAAAAAGGTTAAGCACCGAACACCCTATTTTGGCAGGATCTTCTATCTCCCTCCCTCTCTCTCCCTCTCTCTCTCCTTCTTTCCTTCCTTCTCTCTCCCTCACTGTCTCTCTCTCTCTCTCTCTCTCCAACTCGCCTCCTGCAAGCCTGCACTGTCCCGGTTGCTGCAACAGCTGCCGCGGGGCACTCTTCTGTGCCCCGCAAAGCAGGTGAGCTTCAAAAGCAAGGAATAAAGGTGAATATAGGAGCCTGGGCAGGTGGGTGGCCCAACAGCAGAGAGGTGGAGAGGACCGGTTCAGTCTCCGCTGCTCATTGCCGCTACCGGCTCTGTAGAACCAGTCCGAATCGGTAGAATACCACCACTGCCGCAGACTAAACAAACAGAACAGTAGTCAACTCTTCCTTGGTTTAACCTTGTAAGAGGAACAACAAACCCATGTTTCATTGAAATCACCTCCTCATTCAACAGGCTAAGGGCCATTAAATCAGGGATTTTGTCCATTAAAGTAAGCTTTTACTTGCAAGGGAGGCCATTTGTGTTAATTACATAATTAAGGGGATTATGTAAACCGATTCAAAAGACGTACATTCAAATTTCCTTTCTCCCCCACCCCAAGCGATCCATTAAATCCAGATTCCACTATAAAACACCAGACTTTCTTTCGACATTCTCTTTAAAGGAAAAAAAAAAACTGTAAGGTGACTGAATGTACACAATAACACACCCCTCGGTCCAGACTAATGACACATAATTGCTTTGTTTGCTTAACAGGCTCTGCCCACCCCAATAATCCACATTGATTTCATGCGATAAAATTTCACGTCAGCCGGTTCACACAACAGGCCAAGCCCAGAGAAGAAACGATCTGATCACATTTCAGTCCAACTTAGTGCACCACCTTTAACATGTTAACCTCACACTTGGCTCATAGGTCACTTTCCTGCTTTATAGACCAATTCAGCAGGTGAGCTAACCCTTCCGGAGAGCATATAGCATGTATGGGCTAAACTATGAATATTTCTTTCTAAACTCCACTCCTCTGTTCTATTCTATTCTGTCATTCTATTCTAATTCTATTCTATTCTAATTCTATTCTATTCTATCATTCTCTATTCTATTCTTTCTTTATTCTATTCTAATTCTATTTTATGATTCTCTATTCTATTCTACCATTCTATGCTATTCTATCATTTTCTATTCTGTTTTCTTTCTCTATTCTATTCTAATTCTATTCTATTCTTTCATTCTCTATTCTATTCTAATTCTATTCTATTCTAGTTTATTCCATTCCCTATTCTATTCTATTTATTCCATTCCGTATTCTATTCTATTTATTACATTCTATATTCTAATTCTATTCTATTTATTCCATTCCCTATTCTATTCTATTCTATTCTATTCTATTCTATTCTATTCTATTCTATTCTATTCTATTCT